ATTCCCATACCTCGTCTCTCCGCACACCAAATCTATTTGACTCTGACTCGGGTTTCCTTTCGCGAGGTTCTCACGGGAGAAACCAAAATCAGCCACCCACGAGATCAAATGTTGCTTTAATGACCTAACTGGCTTACAACAGGAAGTCACTTGGAATCCTGGCTAGAATCTGATTATTGGAAAAATTGCAACAGCCAGCGAACTTTCAGGGAACATTGAGAGGCCGGGGCGGGAATGGACAAACAGATCATTTTAGCGAGTTGGATTTCGTGGAGTGAAGTTCTCCGCTGTGTTAGCGAAGCTGCGGGGTTTTGTTTGCTAATAAATCAAAGGGTCAGTAACCCTCACAGTACTGAGTACATTAGTCAGATAAATCAAAGGGCCAGTAACCCTCACAGTACTGAGTACATTAGTCAGATAAATCAAAGGGTCAGTAACCCTCACAGTACTGAGTACATTGGTCAGTTAACAGGGCTGTGACCTTAACTATCCCGCCCCCTTCCCCTTTATATACCGGCACTGACAATCTGGATGAGTTAAACATGAGTGGATGGTTCAACAACTGTGGTCTAGACATAGTAATCAAAACTGTAGACCTTACCCTCTCTCTTGTATCTATATTATTATTATGTAACGTATATACAAGGAAATATTCATGAATGAAAGTGTATCCGTTGTGAAAAACCTTATAAGTAGGTGAAGGAGAGTTACTGCAGTCATGATGATATTTAAAAGAAGCACAACAGAGTGAAATGAAAAGAACCATTTTCTTAGTGTTACTGACTGAAGAAGCCTCCTATTTAAACACTAACCAATTGATGGGAGAGAAAGTCCCTTATTGAAGCATATATGTGAACAACAGCTGTTTGTACCGGTTTAAGCTCAGCCATCCTTCCACAGAGAGTCCAAAGTTTGGTAAAAGCTAATATTAAAATAAAACATAATAACATTTATATTAATGGTAATGAAAAGGGTGAATTAATCTGACTGGTTATTATATATATATATTTTTTTTTTTGTTGTTTTAAATAAGGCAATCATTAGGATTTTAATCTCCCTTTTCTTATTCTTCTTTGTTCACGGGCTGTTAGCTCTGGCAGAAAGTCCTCGTTGTTCGTCCATTTGGTCTTTAGCTTTGTGACAGTTCCTGAGTTTTGCCTGTTAATCATTTTTACTAGCTTATTTGTGTGCAGTTGGTTGCTCCTTGTGGCTCTGGCAAATGCACAACGACTTTGAAACAAGGCCCCAATTAGCTGACTCTTACGCTTGTTGCGGAGGCAGAGGGTCCATTCTTGTTTCCCCTACAGTGGAGAGATTTTAAACTCTTACACTACATTTATCAAAATATTCTCCCTCTCCTTCTGTGGGTGTATGTGTGTGTGCGTGTGTGTGTGTGTGTGCCTGTTTGTGCTACTTAATTTTTTTAATTAAATGTTCAGTTGTGCCTCAGACTACTATCACCCCTTCCCCCTTTTCAAACCATTAGAGCATCCTCAAATCCCACATAAGCAGCTACCACCCATCTCCCCTGAATGCTCCCAGGGCTGTAGCATCCACTTTGGGAAATCCTGATTTAAAGGATATGCACACAACAAACATTTACAGAACAGACATATTTAGTTGCTTCACAGAAACCTGGCCACTACTCAGAGATTCATGTGCCCAGATTTTTTACAGAACTGGCAACTGTACTTTCCACAAGTACAGCAGGTGATCCTCAAATGAGATAAGGGACATCAAAATTCCATCAAACAGCTATTGTCATGGAGACTCTGGTATTTATCAGTTTATTTTCGATCAGACTGTAGTCAATTATGGCAGCCATGGGCAGCAGGAGTCCCCCAGGGAGAGGACATAAAAGAGAGAGATATGTCTGTCTATTATCAATAATGGAATGCTGTGTGAGGTGATTGCAAACTGTACCCAGTTAACAAACTGTGGCTTTTTCTTGGGAATGTAGCCTCAGTTTCACCAGGTTGTTCAAACTGTGAGTATTATGCTTGTTGTGACTGGACAGAACATAAACACTGAAGAGAAGTAACTGATATGTGTATCTTAATAAGATAAGTCAGGAGAAATCACTAATCAAGTGTCTCACAGAATGAGATGTGTGAAACAAAATCATGTGTTTCACACAGTATGAGGTCAGTGGAAAGAAGTGGGAGCAATCAGAGGATCTGGCCAATGCTCAACACTCAAAGGAAAGATGTGACAGATATGCAGATACTGGTGCCATCAGAATTTGAACTCTGTGCTTGGTGCTGAAGATGTGGATGGAGCACATCCTGAGTGCTGTGAGGTCGATTCTTAGTTCAACATTTAACACTGAAAAAAAAGTAACTAGTGTGTGGTTCACAGAATAAATTGAGTGAGGAGAAGTAACTGACATTTGTACCATAGAATAAGATGAGTGGGGAGAGGTAATTGTTGTGTAATCATCTCAACAGCTCTATACTACCAAGCACTCTATAACACAATCATCTCACCAGCTCTATACTACCAAGCACTCTATAAAACAATCATCTCAACAGCTCTATACTACCAAGCACTCTATAACACAATCATCTCAACAGCTCTATACTACCATGCACTCTATAACACAATCATCTCACCAGCTCTATACTACCAAGCACTCTATAACACAATTATCTCAACAGCTCTATACTACCAAGCACTCTATAACACAATCATCTCACCAGCTCAATACTACCAAGCACTCTATAACACAATCATCTCAACAGCTCTATACTACCAAGCACTCTATAACACAATCATCTCAACAGCTCTATACTACCAAGCACTCTATAACACAATTATCTCAACAGCTCTATAATACCAAGCACTCTATAACACAATCATCTCACCAGCTCTATACTACCAAGCACTCTATAACACAATCATCTCAACAGCTCTATAATACCAAGCACTCTATAACACAATCATCTCAACAGCTCTATAATACCAAGCACTCTATAACACAATCACCTCAACAGCTCTATTTTACCAGTGCCAGATTTAGGAAAGGACAGACAAACAAACAAAATTAGAACTTCATCTTCACATTCACAGGCTATAAACTCTGGTGGAAATTCTGGTTTTCTAGAAAATATCTGGACTTTAGTCTTGTTCCAGAACTTGAGTTTTGTGTGGCCATTCATTTGATAGATCTGACTTATTTGTATACAAACTGTTTGTTCCTTAACCTTTCTTTGGTAACAAAACAACAACCTTGACAGACAATACAGTTTGTACTCACATAACAACTGACTTTGAATACTTGAGAGAGAATTGATAGCTCCTTTGTCTCTGGGTGTTTCTGAACACTGTATGACAATGAAAATACTCAGGTCTAAATCTCAAGTGAAACTGAGAAATAAAAGCCTAAAAATATTGAAAAAGTCCTTTATTCAAATGAAGGGACCAGTGAATAAATGCAGTACCATAACTACCTCCATAAAACAGTAGTGTTTTGGGGCAAGTTTAACTCTTTCTAAACTTACCTACTCACCGTCATGATCAGTTATTTTCTACTAATTATATAATAAAACAGACTGTTATTTATTTTTCGTCTTTTAGTTGTAAATTGTTGTTACTTTAAACTTGAAAAATTGCATATTTTAGTCCTTACTTCAACTCTCCTTAAGCTGGGAAACTGTAAAACATAAATCCATTATCTTACTTACTTTACTTTTTCCTTCCACGTATGCCGCTAAGCGTTGTGGGGAGATGCAAGTTCCTGTCGTAAGCAAGGCGGGCAGCATCTGATGTTCTGAGGCCATGCTTTTGGCAGGTTTCGGAGACCCCGTCAATCCACCGTTTCCTTGGTCTTCCTCTTGCCTTATATCCAGAGCTTCTTTGGTTGAAAATTTGCGATGTTATTTGATCATTATTCATCCTGGTTAGATGTCCAAACCATTTCATTCTTTGATGTTCTATGTAGTCTAAACATGGTGTAGTTTTGACAGTGTTTTCTAATGTCTATATTCTTTATCCTGTCTAGTCTGGTCTTATTCGCTGCTTTTTCTTAGACATTTCATTTCACAGGCTTCTATTTTTCTTTCGTGGGTCTTGTTGATTGTCCATGTCTGGCACTGGTAGCAGAGTGTTGGAATGAAGATGGTGTTTATCAATTGTCTTTTGGTCTTCATGGTTATATCTGGATGTTTAAGCAGAGGTGATAGTTGGTATGTGACAGCATTTGCTTTCTGTATTCTTGTTTCTATCTCTCTGTCCATTCTTCCATCCTCTGTAAATATACTGCCCAAGTATTTGAACTCTTTGGTTTGCTTGATTTTGGCGCTTCCAACATTTATATTCAGTGGCCTGTGTGTTCTGCTGATCTTCATAACTTCTGTTTTTTCTGTACTGATTCTCATATTATGTTGTAAACAGCTGTTGTTGAGAGTAGTCAGATGTTCCTGTAGATCATATTCATTTTGATATTCACCATTTCTACTAATTATATAATAAAACAGACTGTTATTTATTTTTCGTCTTTTAGTTGTAAATTGTTGTTACTTTAAACTTGAAAAATTGCATATTTTAGTCCTTACTTCAACTCTCCTTAATCCATTATCAATGGTGAATATTTTCTAAATAAAATCCACTCTCAAATGGACAGAATGAATGACAGTTCCCCCGCCCCCCCCTTCCCCGGAAGCTCTCTGAAGGTTTTACAACTCTGTGACTCAAAGAGCCACATCCTAGATTGTCAAGACAAATTCCAGATACCACATTCAGTCTTGCAAAAAGTTATAAGACATCCTTAATATCTACATAAAGTACTATTATGCATACTTTGCTATCCAAGACAGGTAGATGACTATGAAATACCCTCAAATCAGAAATTCACTCAAAATAAAACCCCTCTGTAAATGAGGAAAACGTTTAAGAAACAAGTCTTTCTTTAAGTATAGATGAAACGCAGATGCTCTATCAGTAAGCTAGTAATCTTTGAGTCAACCACACTGTATACAGTAATGACATATTTGCCTACAAACCTGATGAGATCTTTATAAATAGCCTTGGTGACGTCCAGATATGGCTGGACATTGTCTTCATACTGGCACAGTTGACCACCCAGGCACAGGTGACTAAACAAGAGGAACACAAACTCACTCCTCTCTCCTTCACTGAATTCACAATAAACATCTGAGTCTTCATTCAGCAGCATCTGTCAAAGATACACCAACAATTACTGAATTAATAAACAAAACTAGACTGAATCTGGAATGTTTACTGGCAGCAGAAAAACAGTCAGATTCTCAGACACAACATTCTTAAAGACTATAACATGGGTTGGGGTGGCAGGTGGAGGTGTTGGGGTGGGGGTGTGAGGAAGTTTCAAGGGTGGGGGGGGGGGGGGGGGGGCAAGCAATTTTGAAACTGGGTTCATTTGTATTTGTAATTATCAGGATTTTCAGCTTTGACATTCATGAAAACAAATCAGCACTGCCAGCTTGACATGGAGAGTGATCCTCCAGATATCTTCAAGACAACATAGGGTCAACCATCACATTGATATTTGGACACTAAATTTGATACTTTGAATTATGTGCATGTTTTTCGCCAAGTTATTGTCAACAGTAAGTGGGATTCAAAGAAGGGAGAGGGGGAAGGGGCGCCACCTGAAAAAAGGTTAGAGACCACTGATCTAGCAGGTCCATTGCAGAATGTTGCTCGTATTATGTGCCCCTGAAAAAACTCTGGCTCTTGCATACCCCTGCAACATAGATCTTCATGCCGCTTTTGTCTCTTGCTCACCCCTGCAACATAGAACTTCATGCCCCTTCTGTCTCTTGCTTACCCCTGCAACATAGATCTTCATGCCGCTTTTGTCTCTTGCTCACCCCTGCAACATAGAACTTCATGCCCCTTCTGGCTCTTGCTTACCCCTGCAACATAGATCTTTATGCCCCCTTCTGTCTCTTGCTTACCCTTGCAACATAGAACTCCATGCCCCTTCTGTCTCCTGCTTACCCCTGCAACAAAGAACTTCATGCCCCTTCTGTCTCTTGCTTACCCCTACAACATAGAACTTCATGCCCCTTCTGTCTCTTGCTTACCCCTTGTTACAAGATACTGGGTTCACATTACCGGGGGAAGAAAGTCAGTTGGACTTCTCATGTCCTAGTCTGTTGGGCAGACACAAACCGTTTCAAACCAAGCTAGGAGGTCAGATGTGCTTTTGAAACCAGGATGGGAGCATCAGTCCTGATACAATTTTTAACTGTTATCCACTGGGACATGAGAAGTCAATTATTTAACTGTTATTCACTGGGGCATGAGAAGTGAATTATTTAACTATTATCAACTGGGACATGAGAAGTCAATTATTTAACTGTTATCCACTGGGACATGAGAAGTCAATTATTTAACTGTAATTCAATAGGACATGAGAAGTCAATTATTTAACTGTTATCCACTGGGACATGAGAAGTCAATTATTTAGCTGTTATCCACTGGGACAGGAGAAGTCAATTTTTAACTGTTATCTGGGACAGGAGAAGTCAATTATTTAACTGTTATCTGGGACAAGAGAAGTCAATTATTTTACTGTTATCTGGGACAGGAGAAGTCAATTATTTAACTGTTATCCACTGGGACAGGAGAAGTCAATTACTTAACTGTTATCCACTGGGACAAGAAAAGTCAATTATTTAACTGTTATCTGGGATAGGAGAAGTCAATTATTTAACCGTTATCCACTAAGACAAAAGAAGTCAATTATATAACTGGTATCTGGGACATGAGAAGTCAATTATTTAACTATTATCCACTAGGACATGAGAAGTCAATTACTTAACTGTTATCCACATGGACATGAGAAGTCAGTTATTCAACTGTTATCGTTTTGGAACATGAGAAGTCAATTATTCAACTGTTATCCACTGGGACATGAGAAGTCAATTATTTAACTGTTATCCACTGGGACATGAGAAGTCAATTATTTAACTGTTATCCACTGGGACATAAGAAATCAATTATTCAACTGCTATCTTTTTGGAACATGAGAAGTCAATTATTCAACTATTATCCACTGGGACATGAAAAGTCAATTATTTAACCATTATCCACTGGGACATGAGAAGTCAATTAATTTAATAAGACAAATACTTTAAAACAAATTTTTTTTAACGGTTTTCTGTGCACTTAAGTAAAACCATTACAAACAGACAATCATCATCATCATCAGGTGCCTTGCCAACTGGCGTGGGCGATCATGCCTCACCATAATCTACGATCTCTTGCAGCATGTATCAATTCATGGGCCGACACACCTCCATGCCATGCAACAAGACTGTTAAGAATCTTTTCTCGTTGTGTCCTCTATCCCTCCTTCCACAGATCTTTCCAGTGGTCACAACATGTTCTATTTTCCCTCTTCTCATAACATGGCTGAAAAATGATGACTGTCTCCTTCCGATGTCTGTGATAAGTTGTCTTTGGGCTTCCGCCTCTTTCAAAACCTCTTGGTTGCTCTTTTTTGGCTGTCCAAGGTATTCTAAGCATTCCTCTGAAAAACCACACCTCTGAGGCCCCAATAAATTGTTAGGCCTGCCTTCTGATTGTCCAGGATTCACAGCCATATGTTAAAACTGGATGTATGTAGCAAGCAAAACAGACAAAACCAACAAATATTAGAAGTATTTGAAAATGCCAGAATCAAACAAATAAACGAACCACTTTGAACTGAATACTTCCCTGCCTGCCTGGGTCCGGGGACCCCATTATGGTATATCATACAAGGCAACTAATTAGGGGTCTGCTGAAATTGGATGTGTAGGCTAAAAGCTGCTGATATTGCAGCCTAGCTGTAAACCACATAATATTGTGCTAACCTATCTTTTATGGGTGAACAAAGAAGAACTGAATACTAAGTAAAGATAAACAGAGACTTTAAGATTCAAGGTTCTGAGAACTTTTTTTTTTAAAATACTAAGTAATATATTTTTAGAAAGAGGAAATTGTCAGAAAGGACCAAGGTTGACTAATAAATACTTTATTATTGTAATAACTAAAACAGCACATAAAAAATAAACAACTGGCAAATCTGGAAATCCAACAATTACTGCAGAGGAACGAAACTCCGACTCTACAAGAGCATCATTTTGCCAGTTCTTCTTTATGGAGCGGTATGCTGGAGAATGACCAAAAAGGATGCACACAAGCTGTCCACTTTCCACCACACATGTCTACGTAGAATTATCAAAATTTTCTGGCCAGATACAATCTCAAACACTAAACTACTTCAAGCCACAAACCACGAAACTTTAGACAGTATGATTACCAAGAGAAGATGGAAATGGCTTGGCCACGTTATGAGAATGACTTCTGATATACCTGCCAAAACAGCTCTCACATGGACACCAGAGGGAAAGAGAAAACAGGGGCGCCCAAAAACAACATGGAGACGAACGTTGGAAAGTAACCTGAGTGCGGCATCTTTGACATTGAAAACTGCACTGAAGATTGCACAGGACAGGAAAACATGGAAAGTCGTCTCTGAAGCCTCATGTGCCCATAGGCATAACGAGAACTGATGATGATGATGAAAAATAAACAACGATTGCCGATGGCAACGTTTGTCAAGCAGCACTGATCTGACTTACCTGGCGAAGATTATCACTGATGGTAAACTCCTCTTTAAACTCATCGAAGCATTTTCGGACATCACCAGACTCGTTGGCAATATTCCCATCCATTATTTTGTCGAAGAAAGCCATTGAGAGAATAGTGCAAGGAACACTTGTAACCACAACTCTCTTGGCTTTAGTACCTGGGTATTCAAGTATTCAACATGTTAAATGTTAGAACCTGAGATTTTAATCTATCCCCCCCCCCCACCCACCCCCCACCACCACTTTTGTCTCTTTTCTTGTCTACTTCAATTCAAATACTATTATGGTACTGGAATAAGTTCTTGTAGGCACATCATATATTGCTGTGGATATTTTTTTTTTACTCACTGCACTGCTGCTGCTGTTGTTGGCACTTTTCCATCTTACCAGATGATAGTGTTATAGAGTGGTGCTACAAAGGGAACCACAGGTCATGGTGATGGTGGGTTTGACTAGAAAGATCTGCTCATGTTCAGAAAAGTCTTCTACAATCAGAACTTGAGATTTCATGGGCTTTACCCATCAAATATTGTTAACTGTTCATTTCAAGATCATCTCTATCGCATATAAGACATGATCTTAAGTGTTCCGAGCTCCCCCTGAGTATCTATAAGTGTTTCTAGGCTAACAACTTCCATTCTTCTCTGGTTGATGTAGTGACAGGTGGCTCCCACATGGTTTTCCTGTCTCGCTGCTCCAGTTGGTACACCCATGGTATGCAGTCTTACCCACCCAACAATTACAAGGTAAAGCCTTTCAATGGTTTTTCTGTAGTATTTCAGTATCAGTAGGGGCTGAACCAGTGTTTCATCATACATAAATAGAACAACCACTTTGTCATAAAAACCCCTGAGGGCCTTTGCTGGAGCTATGGGATTCATACTTTGTGCTATGCCCTCAGCTGGTAAACAGCTGTTCTGCAGAGATATCTAGATACTCTGAATAAGAACCCACACAATGAAGTTGATTCTTTCACTTTTTAACATTCTTTATTTGAAGGGGAAAAACCAGCCAATCGTATAGCTTAGTTCTATAATTAGATTATCAAAAGGCAGTATTCCCCTACACCCACCTCCACCCTATCACTTTGGCATGACTGGAACAGAGCAAGACATCACCCCTGGAAACAGTGAATACCACCCAAGACATCACCCCTGGAAACAGTGAATACCACCCAAGACATCACCCCTGGAAACAGTGAATACCACCCAAGACATCACCCCTGGAAACAGTGAATACCACCCAAGACATCACCCCTGGAAACAGTGAATACCACCTAAGACATCACCCCTGGAAACAGTGAATACCACCCAAGACATCACCCCTGGAAACAGTGAATACCACCCAAGACATCACCCCTGGAACAGTGAATACCACCCAAGACATCACCCCTGGAAACAGTGAATACCACCCAAGACATTACCCCTGGAAACAGTGAATACCACCCAAGACATCACCCCTGGAAAC